GTCTGAACTGCCTGAGCAAGGGATTTTAAGTATTGCACCGTATTGTACAGCAAGAACGGATGACAAAATGTTTATAGCCCATCATAATATTCAATCGGAAAGTGAAGAGACACTGTCAACACCATACATAGGAGAGGTTAGTGAAGTTCCGAAAATAATGTGGGATCCGTTAAAGTTAACGCCATTAAATCATACAATTGAAATTGATAAATTAAAGGAAGAAATTAAAGAGCTTAAAGAAAACCATCCACAATTAAAGGATTTACATTTCCATCATATTTCCGGACATGCTGGTCTTATATTGTCATTAATAGTTTTGGGAATTTTTATAATATACCTTGTGAAAAAATGTTTTGTTAGGCAAAGATTACAAGCCATAACTTTCGCAGGCCCGTTGCAAGGAATTTAAAGTAAAATAGTTAAGTTAAAAAAAAAAAAATGTATTGAAAAATAATAAATTTACAGTCCACTAAACCGTTGTTTGCACAATAGTCAAAAATAATTGTAAAGCTTGCCGGGCCTTTGGCAGAATGTTCATCAGAACACGAAGTATTTTATTATTTAAGAAAGAATAAATCAAACCAATGTTAGAGTTAAGCTATAAGAGAATTACATGTCTAAGCTGAAAAATATATATGCACAAAAAGAGCAAGATTTGAGTTTAAAAAATAAAATTGAATAAATAATTACAGTCCACTAAATCGTTAAATCATAACTATTCATATATTAAAAATATATCATTCTTGCCGGCCTTTGGCAGTATGTTCAAACATGAACACGCATATATACAAATGTATATTTAGGTAGCGGAATTGTAGCCGCACCAAATGTCTCACATGTGTGCATACCTAAAACAACGAGATAAAAAGGTTGTAAAATGACCCCCTGCGAGTGGTCACCACATGTTTAGGGATAAGTGCGATCGGAGTAATTGCTATCTCCTCTATCGCCCTTAAAGATAAGAATAGTTGTAAATCTCATGTTAGCTATTTAAGTAGAACATATTCTTAAATAAAATCAGTTTGAAATATCAACTCAACAAAGAAAGACGTATTTATTCGGACGTTCTTTCAGCGTTTGAGCTCGCAATTCGAGCGGCTTCCCAGCGCTCCGCTCCGCTTTCCTTCCCGAACGCTGTCAGTCTAATAAGCAAATTGACTTATTTCCGGTCGCCATGTTGTCTGTTGGCTCAGCTGCGCCAGGCCGCAAACAAAATGGCGTCTCATTAGTCAATGTCGTCTAGGCGGCATCTTAATTGCAAAAGGTGTGAAAATCCAAAGTTTTTCTGTTTGTTTTGGGTGTTTGCCGTTTCTCGTTCCTCGTTCGCCATCCACCATTCACCATTCGCCCGCCCAAAGTTTGCACTGCTAATGATTGATTGAGCCCTTGATGGATTGCCGCTGGCTGGGCGGCGGCACTCGGATTTGCGGCACATGTGGCACGGACTAATTTGATGCCAACAGCTGCACTTGTCATGTGCATTTTCACCTGTTCCTATCCTCGGTGCCTCCATGCCTCAGGTTCAGGTTGTGTGTTTTGTTTGGCCCGACTATTACGCTAATAACTTTGCCCTTTTTCGCCGCTGTCCATTTTAAATTCAATCACCATGTGCAGCGGCTCCTGAAGTGCCCCACTCCCCCTCTCCCTTCCCCTTCCCCTTCCAGAGGCATTGCATTATTTAATAGGACTTTGTTGAATGCCTGATTGCCCGCTGATTACCGATTAGACAGGACTGGCCAGCTGAGTGGCCCAGCGGCCAAAACAAAACCAAATCGCTGACACTAATTGGGTTGCAGGCTGGCTGGAATATCGGAGCTATTTGCTAGCTGCAATTAAGCTGTCTACTTTGCTTGCGGGCATTTCCATTTCCAGTGATTCGGAAACAATTACGAGTATATTAAAAAGGGAATAATATACCTAGAATGACATACCACTAGCCATTAACTGCCAATATTATGGGCTTATCATTACACACTTTACAAGATAATAAGTGCAGCCTTAACATCTCCCTTCGCCTGGCAAATTACCATATGCGGGTATTTAGATTATCGAATTATCCCCTGCGCTCGCCACTTCATGTCACTTCGCAGTGATCATGCAACTGGGTATCAATTAGACCAACCCCTAATTAGGGCAAACTCTCGAGACGTTTTCGCCTTTTTTGCGGTGGCGCAGCATTGTTTAACGAGCAGCGGAAAAAACACGAGAAAACACAGCGCACAGAACTCAAAACTCAATACAGACCGCGCCTGAGCCTACAAGCTGTTAAAATGTTTATGCAGGTGTCATGCCAATGACAGCGGCGCTCTGAAAGGAGACGATCGGCGAAGAGATGGCCGAGATGGAATAGCAACCGCAGTGCCAATAGCAATAACAATAACAATAACAATAGCCAGGCAAAAGGCCGAAAAGGCAGAAACAGCAGAAACTGCAGAAAGGCCAAAAGGCAGCTGGCCTCACACTTGTTCGCATCCCGCTCTCTTCGCCTCAGTCCCGAAGTTCTTTCCCCGTTTGATCGTCAATTGCAACAGCAACAGCTGCCGGGCCAAGGCCAGATCGGCCATGTGATTTCCATTTCCAGGCTGAGTCACAAGCCGCAGAAGGCAGAAGCCCTGTCCCGAGATCCCCAGATGCCGAGTCATCCCCAGAACCCAGCGATCTCTGGCCAATAATTCCGGTGCGCCGAATACGAATATATTATTGGTCTACCTAGCAGGCGCTCCTCTGTAAAAGGATTAATAATGATAATGTGGTCGATAATTGAGGGTTCCATAAATAACTTCAGAAGCTATCATAGTTATCAGTTGACCGTAATAATTAATCATTCCTCGACATTCACATTATTCAAAGCTTTGTTTAATAATCTCTTGCACAATATTTTATATTAAACTTATAACATTTACTAAATGAATATTTAATTTAATTTAAGGTAGAATCTATTATGCTTAAGCATTTACTGGTGTTATCAATAGTTTACCTCTGCTTAAAATTGGCATTCCAAATTCAAGACTATTTAAATATTACTCTTCGTATATCTCCGTTTTGATTGATCACTATTTACATGAATATTTTGTGTTTATTTACTACATTGAACGATTTCGAACTGTTGGGCTGCAGACTGTTTGCAGACCTGACTTGGCCAACAAAACAATCAATTAGCCCTGGCGGCACTCAAAACTTTAGTATCGGCCATAAAGTTTGGCCGGGAAAAAGGCCCATCTGGGCGAAGACTTTCGCGATTTTCCAATTTCCCAATTCCGTTTGAGGCCGTGAGGCTGTTTGGGAAGGAAAGTTCGGCTCTGCGGACTGCGGGCCACTGACGTACGGCGGCGGCAGATGGAATCGACAGACGGTGGCGGGGCACAGTCGAAAGGCGGCAGCAGAGAAGCAGAGGCAGCGAGGCAGCAGAGGCAGCGACACATGGCAGCCAGCTGCAATTATTTGCAGTTGGAAGTTCTGTTTCTGCCGGCAACGCGGCGCACAAGGCCATCAGAAACAGACGGCGGCCAAAGTCATGGACCAAAAACCCACTGGATGTTGCTTCCGGCCCCTTTGCCACATGGAGCGGAGGTAAGGGTGAGGAGAGCGGGAAGGGGAAAGGGAGGGCAAATAATTTATAATTTCGCACGTGAAACTGACAAAGCGGAGCAAACGAGATTCCCACTGGCACTCCGTGCTCCGTCCGTCTTAAACTATTATTCGAGCACTTGACAAACGAATTTGTATCTGCAATTGTGCCCGGCAAATAAAAAACAGATGCGACCAGCCATCTCAGACACTCGCATATTCAGATACTCAGATAGCCAGATACCCAGATACTCAGACATTCTGCGTATATCTGCACTGCTTAAGGCCAAAGACACTTTGAGTGGCAGAAGACAGCTGGCCGCAATCAACATGTGTTGGCCACATATCTCATCGCACAACCGATTTGCATGGACTCACCATTTTGGCAGATCTCTGGTTCGATTCGGGTGCCCTGTGGCTGGAGAGTGCTTCTGGGAAACTGCTGACTGCTGACTGCTAACTGCCTTGTGGGCTATCTTCGAGATGCTTTCCGTGGACCTAGCACTTCGCGACCGGTTGCTTGCTTGCATTATTCACCATCGAGCCATCGAAACGCAGGCGGGAGTGCGACTCGCGAACCGGCATCTCGGAGCAATGCCAAACGACTGAACGGATGCGAAAGTATCTTTCGGATCGTGTATCTGAATGGCGCGCTGGACGACGAGAACACGCGGAAGTCGAACTGCGAGTGCGATGCGATGCGATGCGATGCGAACTGAAGGGACGTCCGACCAGTTGGAAGTTTGGTTTGTTTGTGAGAGCAGCCCGTTTCATTTCAGTTCAACTCGACTCAGCTCAGTTCAGGTAGCACATGTTCGAGCGCTCCGCTCGGTTTTCTGAGGCGCCTGCGCGGTGGCAGATGGAACAGCTGTTTCTGTACCGCCTGCCCCGGTCCGCTCTGTGGCAACAACAACAATAACAACAACAACAAGAAACGAATGCCAGACACTCGGTGGGCTATTAACATCAGCTGCTGTTGTGCCGCACTGCCCCCACCACTGCCACTTCTCCTCGGCGGCAGCTGAATTGAAATTCCTTTTTGGCAGAGGCAGCCGCTCGTTTCGCTCGCTGTTGCCGTCTCGCTCTCGTTTCACTGGCATTCCAGTTGGCACTGCGCTCGAGTTCCCAACTGCGTGCCGATATTTAAATAAATTGCCAACCAATTGTGCCCAAACCTACACTCACACACTCGAACACCCGGGGATTCCCCTTCCCCCTACCCGGAAAATAAGAGGGCCTTATGCGCGTGTTCACACCATGTCAAATGCTCAGGTCCACCCCAGCCACTCGAATGTGGTCCACCCCACCGAAACGAGCTGGCAAATTAGAGGCGATTTGGTGCGGGATCTCCAATTGGAGATGGGCGATTATCGGGGACGCAAGAGATCAGTGTTCGAGGGCAATTAGTCGAGGAAGTAACAGCTCACACTTGGTTCAGTTCCAGCGATACAAAATATATTTCATAAAATATAAAGGTGGTACAAAATATATGTTGTGGAAAGTATATAGTATACAAAATATGTAAAACCTAAACCATGAATGCACGTTAAATCAAGAGTTCAACCAGAACTTCAAACTGATTATAATGATAACTGAGTCGAGAAACCAGAATCCAGATGATCCAAATAATGCAAGTGACGATGAAGATGGCAGTCCTGAAAGTACAGATGGTCATGAAGGACATCCTGTAGTCCAACGCCTCGCAATACTCACAGAGAAACAGAGAGGATGAATCCAACCCAGGACGAATACAACCCCGAAGATACCATCGCAAATTGGCATCGAGGAGAGCGATTCTCCTGTGTTGGGATTGTCCTCCTATAAAAAATATTTGATTAAATTAACAATTTTTTTATGATTGAATTAGCACTTTTAAATTATAAACACTTAATTTAATTTTTTAATTTTTGTTCACTCACTTCTTATTATTTTTGAGGTGTTTCACGACCGAGCTGTCAAGTATAACTGGCTAACTACTGGAAATCCAGCTCCTTTTATAGCAGGAAAAATCAAACGAAATTATCCCTGGCCTACTATGATAATTGTTTTCTATATAGTACATATTTAATAAGTTAAGAACGGATAGTTTGCTCCCATAACCCTTCCACTTACTAACCAAATCCAGTCCCTCCAAGCTTCCCTTTCCTGCGCCGCAGTAATTAGCCACCGATTGACATATCTCCCTGATTGCCCATGCATATCGGCCGGCCATCTGGTGGCACCATCAATCTACGCCTGCGAAGACGTTTCAATACATTCCTACAAATTGACCACCACAATTTAAACAAAACCCGCTTTTGGCCAATAAGTGGCCATTCATCTTGTCCAGCAGCCGCAGCTTGCCCGATTCCCCCCCTCTCCTCCCATCCACCGACCTTCGATGAGCAAAACTTGCCACAGCCGAAAGCCGAGCACCCTAAACCACAAACTTGAACGTGGGCGCAGGGGGAGAGGCAAATTTGGCACTCCGAGTGGGAAAGCAGAGGGTGGGGGTGGGTGGTTGGGTTGGTTAGGGTGGGCGAAGGCCGAAGAGCCGCTCTTCTTTTACTACTGCCACTTGGTAGCAGTTGGCCATGGCAGCGAAGTCGTCGTAGTCGTCCTCGTCCTCGTCGACGTCGTCGTCGTCGTCGGAAGAGCAGCATCAGGCGGCAAATAATGTAAAACGCCATTAGGCGAGATTTTCTCATACAAACAACAATTGTGCATTGGCACACCAGCCTGACGTCGTCGTCGTCGTCTGGGATTTCTGGGGGGATTCGAGTGGAATTGGTGTGGCACGGGGGTTGCGATTGGGTGGTTTGGGTGGCATTCGGGTGCTTGTGGGCTGTGGGCTGTGGGCGTCGGACACAGCGTTTTTTTATGCGCATTTCGCACGGGCGAGTGGCGACGAGAGGGGAGAGCGGCGGCGTCGGGAAAACTCTCGTGGAACGTAGCAAACGAAAACAATTTCGGGCCGCGCTGGCTGGCAAGTGGCAACATTTGTTGCTGCTGCCGCTGCGACAAATTGAATGAAATCACGGCAATTTGGAGTGGCATACATCGGCAGGCGGCAGCTGCGACCAAGCTGGACCGAAAGTCCGCTCCCAAATGGCCAGTCGCTGAAAGGAGGAGCTGGGGAGATGGTGGGATGTTGAGATGGGTTGATGGGTTGGTGGGAATCGAACGTAGAGGGGAGGGCAAACAACGGAGCACTGTTGACGCATAATTGAATTATTAATTTTTATTTTAAACATCGAACGACACGACATGTTGCTGTTGCCGTTGCTGTTGCTGTTGTTGCTGCTGCTGGTGGAGCAGTTGCGGCAACGTGGCTGCTGCACATGCGTCACTTGTCGCCCGTGTTTATCTGGCGAGGGCAGCGTGTATCGCAGCGATAAGGAAGTTGTTTGCTCAGCGGGAACCAGAGTGCCACCCACTTGATGCGTCCTCTAGGCCAGCAGGTCAGGATGAAGCTGTTTGCTCGGACGTCCTGCCTCTGTGTGCCTTTGGGGGCGGGGTTCTCTGACTGCCTGAATGCCTGAATGGCTGACTGGCTGACTGGCAATGGCCAGATATGGGAATCGGCAACTGAGTGTCGGCAGATAACACTCCTCGGATGGTAATGGCCTTGTTTGCTGCTGTGGAACTGCTGGGAACTGGCCACCCACCGGGCGGCTTATTAGACTGGTCCCCAGCCCCGTCCTTCGTCCTTTCCACCAGGAGAAGACAGCAGAAGACAGTTGCTCAGCGGTCGTCCTGTCCGGAGGCAAAAGACGCGCTAAAATTGTCGCCGTCAGCGGCAAGCCGACAGGCTCTGTCCTGTCCAGGACATGAAAAGCCAAGAAAGGACTTTTCCCGGGCGGCCAAAGTGAAGAGCGTAAAAACGTCGGCTGCAAGTGAAGTGCGGACAATGCGGAGCGCTCTGGGAAAATACGGTGGGAAAGTCGTGGCAGCCGCAATTATACAGTTGTGGGCATTTCCCAATAATTTAACGGGCTGACAGGAACTCATCAGTGAGCTCTGAATTAGAAACACTCGTACGTTTTAAATTAAGAGCAGCATTCAGCAGCAAGAACTAGCAACAGCAACAACTAGTTGTAGCAACAGCGACAGCAGCAACATGTTTTCCGACAAGCTCCAACCTCGGCATTCGTATGCCCCAAAGACACAAAAACTCTATAAGGATAATATGCGTATTTGTGGCAACTGGCAGCTTTCAGCAGCAGCAACAGCAGCAGCAGCAGCCACAGCAACAATAGCAGCAACAACCGGCAAGAGTAACCGTTATTAAAGATTTTGAATACCTAATTATGAAAATGTCAGAAGCAAACGTTTTTTTGTTGCGAACGGGAGCGAGGGAGAGGGAGAGGGGAGGTGGCGCAGTGACAGGGACGGCGTATAATCTCCGCCAGGACTCTCCGACTGCGAGTGTGTGGGTGCGAGGATGTGGCTGGCTCGGCTGCCAGGCCATAGCAAAGCGCCATAGTTGTTGTTAGCCGCAGCAGCAACAGCAAAAGCAACAGCAACAGCAGCAACATGAAGAACAAACTGTGTTTCTGATGTGCCTGGCAGCCAAACACGAGCTCTCTCATCGCAGCAGAGAGCAACAAAAACACGGGCAGGAATATGAAAAATTCCATTTTCATGTCACTCAATTGAATTTCCATTCAAACTGCTTTTTTCCTTAGCCAGATTCCCAGCGTTCTGTTTTTTTTTTCCTTTGCGAGTGACTGACGCTGACGTCGAGCGCGGCGCTTTTCCATTTCCATTTCCACTCCACTCCGCCCACGTCCATCCCCAACCCCCCACCACGCCCCCTTTAATATTTTCGCCTATTTCCCGCAAGCACACACACACACACACACGAGTATGCGGGCGGTGTTTTGTATTTTTGGGCTTTCTAGCCAAATTAATTGCCTACGGATTTGTAGTTAGTTGCCATCGTCATCGCTTTTGTTGTTGCTGTCGAAAGCTCAAACACAAATACAGGCACAACAAATGCCTGCCACACACACGTACACCCGCACACACAATCACAATGGCTGGCCAAAAGTCCTTTTTGCCTTGACTGCATTCGGGTTTATGGCAAAAATAAATAAATTTTGGGTTTATCTCAATGGCACACAAGTCATTTGCAGCTGAGATTTTTTTGCTCGCTTTCCTATCTCTACTACTATTTCCACAGTCGACCGACCGACGGAGCAACCGACGTCGTTTTTTCGCCCCGCATCCTTGTGATTATTTTTTTCGTCCTGCCTTCCCTGTGGTTGCTTTCTGACGGCAAAGGTGAGCACATGTGATGGTTCCGGCCCCCCCCTCTCCCGTTTCCCGGTTCTTCGTATGCTGTCGAGAACAATATGTCGGGAACAATTGAAGCATGACGTGGAGATCTGTGGACTTTGGACACGAGCTTACATCGGATTAACATTGTGCTCAAGGCGCTCGAGTCTGTCGAACCGCATGCATTAGGTTCCAGTTGCAGGACAACAAATTGTTGTGCCATAAAGGAAGTAGGAATCAGCCGGAGTCCAGGGGCAGCCAAAGGAATTCGAAAAAGTGGATGAAACAAAGCTTGGGGGAAATGTAGTTACGTCAAAGCAAAAGTGCATCTCATCTTTGAAGGAGTGTCATATTTTTTGTAATAGTTGGCCAATAGTTCAACATTTCAACTCAAACTTAGCTGGATCTGCGTCGTTTGATTACAGTACACAGAGGAACATGTTTTTGCAACAACAGCTACACAACTGACCCGAGCAGACAGCCAGAAACTGGACTCCCAGGGTTGCCAGGCCCTCAAACCTCCAAAAAAGCTGTCCTGCGATTTTCGGGCGGTGCGATGGTCTGCAAAACGGGGACAACACAGCGCCTGCTTTTGTTTAGTGGCCAACTGCGGTGCCAACTGCAGGCGCAATCCACTTGCTGGTGCCCATGGCCAGCACGCCGGCCTCCTGCCCTCGTGCAGATTTATTTATAGAATTTAAATTTAAACAAAAGCGAGCAGCAGCAGCAGCAGCGGCGGCAGTAGCAACAAGAGTGACCAATGTGCCTCCGGCGGCTTTTCCATGGCGCCTGCTCCTGACAAGCTGACAGGCCTGCTGAGCCTGACTCTGGATCCCGGATCCCGGCTCCCAGCGCCCGGATGCCGGCTCCCTGAGAGCAGGACCCTCGCCCGGCGACATTTCCACTTGTCATGCTTTTGCTTGAGTAATTAAATAACATTTTCTTCCGCGCCTTACACGCCGCCCGAAACAAAAGCGCCAACAGCATTGACAGCCGCTGAAAGTGACGGCGGAATGGTTAAGGCCGCCTGACAACTGCCGATTGGGAAGTTACTTACCCGAATTGTAATTCGCTTTGAGGTCCTTCGATGAATGAAATCATTATGTGTGTAAATATTGTTTACATTACGTTACGTTTAAAACAACGTAAGCCAGTTATTAGCACATTATTATAACTATCTGGCACCCCCGATCACAAAGCACGTTTGCAAGGCAAGTTGGCAGCCTGGCAGTCGTTGTAATTCCTTCGAAATGCTCATTTCCTAATCATAAAATTCTTCCATCTGAACAAAGAAGCTGCCGCAACAAAAGGCTTTACTATGTAAAATCTATTAAGTTTATATAAATCGCAATACTAGCGTTGCGGAATTCTGATTCTTCCGTCGGCCGTGATTTTCGCCATCTTGTCAAGCTTTCTTTTTTTTTCGCGACTAATTCAACGTGCGCGCATGCGCTTCTGCCTTCCGAGAATTTTGATCGATAAATTATTTCCTAGAACTATTGTCTTGAACGGACCGAAATGGTAAGAAGCTGTTAAAAAAAAAAAGCTTGAACTGTGTAGTAATTCATTGTTGATATTTTTCAGCTTAAGCACAAGTGGCACCGGAGCAACCGGAGTTCGGTTCGCCTGCCCAGAAGCGAATTTATTGAAATAAGACCCCGAATGGAGGACAATTGCGAAGGAGAAAGCCGATGGGGACCCCAACTAACCGTGGACACTCTTTCACCCATAGGCGGCATCAAGATGGTTAATCCAGATAAAGGATCAGAGAAGCTCTCGACTTGGAACGGATGCACTTCTACACCCAAGAAAAATGCAGAGGGCATGAAGGTAAACCCAGCTGTGCAGCCCCCCAGTGACCCACTGGACGTCCACTTTGGCCGACTTCTCTCAGTAAGGAAGAGATCGGAATATATTTCGGAGTGGGACAGTCGCCTGCTGCCTTTTAGCGAAATGAACAGCATGGAGAATGAGAAAAGTTCTTCAGAAAAAACATTGCAAAGCAAGGATTTCGATCTACAAAATTATCAAGAAAAGCCTAAGCTATCAATTGAGGTTCCAAAGTGGGACAATCCCTCAGGAAGCATAAACATATCGAGCGACAAAGAGTGTTCGCCTGATCGGAGCAAGAAAGCCATAAAAAAACCTTTGAAATTAAAAATCAGACAAAACTGTGCTAAGAAATCGTTAAGGCATAAACCCTTCGCCTTGCAGCCAAGTCAATATAATCCGCATAAGGACAATCCGTTGGTGGATTCAATCTGGAGCAACCAGCGTTCCGAGGACATTGTTTTCCATGAGAACCTGGATAACAAGATTTCCGTGAAGACAGTGATGCCCAATGCGTACTCCACCTTGCCGCTCTCCGGAATTTGGCAGCGATCCAGTGCGGCAAATCGGGAAATGCAGACCCAATGGATTGCTCCGCAGAGAGAGGAAAGCGGTTTTTCGCTCCTTGAGGGTCAGGACTCAGGACTCAAGGACTCAAGAGTTGGGATAGAGATGCCCGCGCTGCTGCCGCTGTCCCCGAATAAGTACCCCCCTAGACCGAAGTTTCAAATGGGAAACCAAATGCTGAGCACTAACTCGGTTCCCTTGACCAGAAAGAGCGGTCCGGTTAAAAGGAAACGGGATGCAGTGAAGAAGTCTGCCAGTAAGCGAACTCCGCAGAGTGCTTGGCACAGGGAAAACCTGTGCGAGTGCTCCTTGCGGGAAATTCCACATCTTGATCCTTCCCAGAGCAGCGTGATAAGGTGGCGGAGCATCGAGGCGATCTGCATGCGCTTGCGGGGCCTCCAAGTGCCGGGCAATCTTGGCCTTGTGAAGGAAACCCCATCGTTCGACGACATTTTCGACGTTCTGGGCATCGACGAGCAGGATCATTCCCAGGCTCCACCAAAATGGCTAAGTAATTACGAGCAAGATGACTGCACCGATTCGGAGAACGAAACGAAGGTCAGGGTCAAATGCGAAGAAGATGATTGCTTTGAAGTCTGTTAGGGTAAAGAATTTTTAAAATTAAAGACAGAATACACACACATATTTTTTCCTACTAATAACTATTCTAAATTTCCACATTTGCTATTTGTTTAATGATTTTATAATGCTTGATAGACATTCATTAAAAAATGTTTTTTTTTTTAATAAACGCTTTAATTAAATTATTGCGTTTATTATTTGAAGCAAATATGGCTCTCGTTCGACAGATGCGAAAAATTTGTTAGGTCCCTGCAGTTTTTGTCGGAAAGATGTTGCAAATCTGCTTCGACCATCTCACTCATTCCCGAGCTTCCTCCCCAGCTTGTAACAATAAATACTGTGTGCAGCTGCAGCAACAATGGCTGCGAAAAACAGCAATGGCATCAATTTTTTGTAACATGTTGCCAAACATGGCCGAAACCACGCCCACAGCCTGGAGCAGAAGGACTCCGGCTGGCACTACTGAATCTGCTGTTCCTGCTGCGGTGGCCACTTAAATGTCGTTATGTTGTCGGGTCACGCGCGACGTCGATGTGGCTCTGGTCGTGGATGTCGATGTGGATGTGGATCTGCCCCTGACCATGTCCGTGTCCTCCGTCCTGCGTCCTGCGGCCTCGTGCTCGTGCTCGTCCTTTTTTGGGCCAGCGGGGCCGGGGAAGAAAAACAACTTTATTGCCGCAGCAATTATGCGTAGCTAATAAAAATGTGCGGAGGTGTTGGCAGCAGCAGGGGGCCCGAGTAAAATCGAAGCCGGAGGGGCCGGAGCAAATGTTTCTGGGGCAGGCAGTCATCGACAGCGAACCGATTTATGCTAGCGGGAATAATTAATGCGCTGATTTATTTAAAAACGTGTTTTGGCATTCAAATGAAGGCACCAATGTTCAATTAACCCATTGAGCGCAAGCCAACTAAGCTGCACAAACCCAAAACAGTTTCACAGTCAGTTAATGCTAGAGATGGAGAACTTCGAATGCATTTTTGCTCCCATTTTATTGGACGCAGCTAGCCACACATCGGGCATTAATGGGTTAACATGTGCGAGTTCTCGCGCTTTGTCGAAATGCAAATTTGTATGCCAGCTTGACAGCAACAACAATCGCATAACCAAAACAAACAAGGCCAACAAAAGAGGTCGAAAAAAATGGGGGAAAGCAGAAAAATCAAATATGTTAAGCGGCATTTAAGCGCGGCATCGAGATCCCGTGAATGTGCCTGCCACACGAGATAATGCCACGCCCCCTCCTCAGCCACCGCCCCCCGACCAACTTGTTTGTATATTTTTCTAAAAATTTGCACGCATTGCATTGTTGTACTTTTCGCCGCTGGTGTTGTTGCTGTTATTTTGGGTCTCTGTTTGTTTGTTGTTCTGTTTGTTTGTTTGTTTGTGGCACACACACATGTGCGGTTCCCAGCGGCAGCGTCCCCTAAAAGTATGCAAAGCAACAAAACAACCAGGAAACCGGGAAAAAAGGAAGGCGGCGCACGCCATTTGTGTGTATTATGGGTTGAATGTTTCGCAGGAGATGTGGGAAATGTAAACGGAATTGTTTTGCCCGCCCGATGCTGTGGGTGTGTGTGTGTGTATGCGCGCGTGTGTGTGTGGGGGTGGGCGAGTGTGGGAAAACGTGCGGGTGTGTGTGTGACAAAGGGATAATGACTGGCAGCCGGGATATCCCCACTCGCTCCCCATCCTCACACAAGCCGCGCTGCGTGTCTTATCACCAATGAAGGAAAACACGCACGGCCGCTCGACAAGCTCAAGGCAACGGCCAACCGGGCGTATTGACAACGACGAGGGAGGACGTGCCCACCTTCTCCCCTTCCTGCGATGTGTGCTGGAGTTTGCTCAAAGGACTTGCGTCGGTTTATCCTGCAGGGTGGAGTTCGCAACTCCGGAGGGAAAGTGCATTGTGACAAGTAGCTCGTGCACTTGTTGATAAACGCTTGACACATAATCTTGAGTGAATAATAATAAACTGATAGTTATTATTTATTAGACACAAAATGTTCTAATTATTTTTGTTTAGTTAATACATTTTTGTATCCTTTTCTCAGTTAAAATGAAATTTGTAAAACCATTCCTGGTTTATCAAATGTTGTTATTTCAAATCAAAGTGTCCCTTATCAAGCATTCAGTTTTTAAAACAACCGCCATTATTCAATAAATTGATAGTCGCCACTGTGTAAGGCTCTAGCTTATCGATAGATTCTGTGTAAGTTAACATTGCCATTCCATGTTAATGCTCTGTAAAGTTGAAGGCGGTGTTGAGTAACGCCACAGGACAATGCTGTCCAGCACTGGGAATTCAAATTTGAATTTAAAGTAAGTTATCTGATACTGGTTTTATAAAAATAATTGCACTTTATTGAAGATGTTAAAGATAAGCCCTAAATTAGCGTTACAATTAGGTGTCTAAAAGGTAATTTGTTCAACAATTTCCATTACGTAGAAGGGCGCACCTGCCACGCCCCGAAATGCGGCAGCATTGGCAGCAACGACGACTCGATCGACTACAGTTAAATGACTATTTCTTCACTGACTCAGATTCCGAGGGGCGTGTTCTAAGTTTTTTAAGTCGCAGTTTTGGTGGCAGGCCACTCCGGACATCATTGTGTTTAGACAAACTTAGACAAGAGGGATTTAAGCACTAGTTATCACATAGTAAACTTATGGGGTAGGTGGCTTCTCTCATTCCTATTGCATTGACTCGCACTTGACTGACGGATCAGATCCTTTAGCTCAGCGATACCCCAGCAGGTATTTGGGCAGGTAGGTGATGGAGGACAGCAGGCTATAGCTTTTCGGGACAAAAAAGAGTTTCGGGGGTAAGTGTCCAGGTCATTTATTGTCGTTAAAACTAAGGAGTCGCTCCACCAGCTTATACGAGTATAAAGAGGCCTTAATCAATCAACCACCAACGTTAACAATCACCACATCGAGAGGGCCATAACCATCGGTGGAGGTAGGCGGCACTTCTGTTTTATCCTCTCCTCTGTTCGTTCATAAGATATTCGATTTTAGTTGTTGCATGAACCACACCAGTGCAGAAAATAAAATTCGTTATTATCGGTAAAATAAAAATGTGAATGCGAAATGGCGGACAAATAAACGAGTGACAGCATAAGGACTACAAGCAAGTGATTCAACACAATTCCAAAGTGGTTTGGGTTAGGACAACCAGCACCAAAAACACAAGAATACGAGTATAAACTGAACAGCGCTTACGAGTTGGTCAGTCCCTTGTAGAACCAGGACTTCCAGGACTTGGACGACTCCTCGTCGATCTTGGACTCGACCTCTGCACAGAAGTGCTTTCGGTCGTGGGAACGTCCACTTCGGCAGTCGCAGATCAGTCGCTTCTTGCACTCGGCGTCGCAGGTTGGTCTCGCCGGCGAGTTCTTCCAGTAATATCTAGTAAAAAGAGAGTCTTTTATAAAGAGTAAGACCCCTTTGCACAGAAACCCACTTGTAGTACAGCTCGAAGAGCTCCTGGTTGTTGGTCAGCTCGTTAAGCAGGTTGTTCCAGTCACTGGGACGCAGAGCCTTCATGTTGTAGGCCGCTCGTGCTGTGTAGAGCTTGTACCAGATGGGATAGCCGTACAGATTGGCCTCCTTTAGGTTCATTATCCAGGACTCGTGGTCGATGACCAGTCGCGTGGTGGAGTCGTGATCGCCGTCCACGTAGTAGATCCGGTAGCCAGGATTCAGATCGTAATACGGCGAAACAGAGGGTCCTATGTAAGCGATTCCGTTCGGATGGTCTGGAAAAGTCAGGAAATTTAATTAACTTGAATATCTATTTTATAAGACTCTATCTTACTCAGATCATGGGGATCGTAGAACATTTCAAACTCGTCGTAGTGCGTGTGTCCGTAGAACTGGGCAGTCACTGTGCTCTCGTAACGCGAAATGATTTTGTAGAAGTTGCGGGACCAGACTTTAAGGCAGTCGGAGTGTCCTGGGGGAATGTGGCCAATGACGTGCACCTTTTCGTTGGAGAACTCGGCACTTTGCAGCTCGTAGATGAACCTACAAAAAGAGCATTATTATTCAACCATTTCCAATCGAATTGAAATTGCTTTCACGAGTTTTCTTACCATTGCAGCTCGGTGGCGGGATCCGTGGAGTTGAGGAGCAGCCACCAGTTCTTGTTGTTGCAGTAGTTCATGTTTAGCGAGATGATCCTGAAGCCAGGGCGAACCAGCACCGAGTAGAAGGCTCCCCGTCGCACCGTGTGGGTCACACTTTGGGGCAGCCAGCGGCGCCACTGGACATCCAGTTCGTCGTAGAGCCAGCTGATGGAGATGTCCACCTGGTTGACATACGGCGGAGGAAAGCTGTTCACCGGGGCGCTCTCGTGGTTCCCCAGGGCCGGAAAGATGGGGATGCCCGGGAACATCTCCACCATCTGCTTGACGGTGTCCTTGATGATGGCCAGGTTCTCCTCCTTCGTCTGGTTCCACACGTCGTGCGGCGGTAGGTCGCCCGTCCACAGGATGTAGTCGATGTCCTTGTGCGTCTCCGCGATGTGCGAGAGCATGTGGTCCACGGTCCTCTTGGGGGTGTCGCACTTCCGGTAGTCGCCCCACTTGCCGGCCGCCGCATTCGGCGTGGCAGGACGACCGCTGCTCAGGCGACAGCAGAGCGGCTCGTTGCAGTCCGCGTTGGATCCCTCGGCGTAGTGGGGATCGTAGTGGGTGTCCGAGATGTGCAGCACCTTGAAGAAGGGGGCGGCCTCCAGGGGAATGGGCAGGTCGGCCAGCCGCGGCGGCTTCGGCACCGGCGGGAAGATCACCTCCCACTCGTGGTAGGGGTTGTACACGTCCGCACAGCCGTCGCCGATCACGAAGCTGCAGAGCTCGTCGGGACTGAGGTTGACCCGCTTGAGGACGTAGATCAGCTCGCTGCCGAAGAGCTGCGCCACTCCCTGGCAGACCCGCGCACTCTGGATGTTCAGGTTGGTGCAGTAGTCGCTGATCATGCGGATCAGCTCCGCGTCCGTCTTGCCGCTCTGGATCTGGTGCTGCAGCATGCCGGCGCCCGCTCTGCAGGCGGTGCAGGTCACCTTGGACATCACGCTGTTCTCGATCTCGAAGGCCACCTGCTTGAGGTTCAGCAGCTTGAGCGCCTTGTCCACGAACGGGGGGTACACCAGGCCGTCTCCGCCGGCCACGTCGTACCAGAGCATCCGGGAGCTGGCCGTCTGGTTGTGCCGGATGTCCACCAGGCGCTGCAGGAACTCCGAGTCCGAGGCGTCCGAGGGCAGCGTGCGATGGGAGCGGTTCGGGTGCTCGGCGGGCTCCAAGTGCGGCTGGATGCTGCGCGGCTGCTCCTCGATCACCCAGCGCTCCATTTCCGGCTGCGTCCAGTTGATCTGCGGCTTGATGTGCGTGAACAGGAAGGGCAGGGCTGGCGGCGGAGTCAACCAATTCAATTAGAGCTTCTCTCCTCGGATGACAGCACTTCATCACTTACCGTTTGCCACAGAGAGAACCGCCAGAAGGGCCGCGAGGATGAGCCAGCAGTTTCCCCTGGGACTCGGCCACGGAGGCTGCTGCTGCGTCATGGTGCCGACTTGTGGACTCCGCTACGCCGGGTAAGCCAGGTAAGCCAGGTTAGCCAGGTACCGAGCTCCACTGGCGGCTTGACCTACATAGCAGGGTTTACCCGAAAAAAGCAAGCGGAGACAGCAAATTGGAGAGTCATTATTATTTTGTGGAACGAGTTTCATTACGCCGCTCTTTTAGGTAAGAGTCGAGTATGTGCAGTGGCTCATCAACGGTTCGGTTTGTTTTGCTTTTTCGGTATGCAGTTTCTTTTTCCCTCCTCTGATTTATGGCAAGAGCCATCAGCATTTATGTAACGCAAATTAACTGGTCGCTGCTATAACTTTTCGGTAACTACTCGTAATCTTAACCGCATTAACTAGCGAATCATCTAGATGTTTCATGGACAGATACAGCATGGGGAACAGAATTTTAAATTAAAGTACACCATGATATGTCTAATATCTACTGCCATAGGTCAAATTCTGTCGGACTGAGCTATTACATTTGATGGCCCGATATTAAGTCCGAGTGATGTTTGCTAATCCTGCTTATTTATTCAGCCATAAAGGTACGAGTATCTCTGCCGCACCCCCATAAATTGCCTTCTGGCTTTTGTCGCATTATGTTGCCTGGCCACAAATCCTATTGCAGCAATTTCCGAACCCCAATTCGTACCCCACCCCGCCGCATCCACACCCCCTGACCACTTGACCACTTGACCTTTCCGATGGCTCGTCACTAGGGATACAAAATCTAAATTTCAATTTGTGTGCGGGCGTTTGCCGCTTTCATCAACATTTGACAGCACTTAAAATCTCGTTAGCTGTAAATGGCAGACATGTTTGAACACCCACAACAACAGCAGCAATATGTGGAGCACACCAGCAACACCAGGAACAGCAGCAACACCAGCAACAGCAGCAACACCAGGAACAGATGCAACACGGGCAACAAACACGAGCAACATGACGAGCAAAGTCAACGGCAATCGGGGAAATGCCACCTCCCGATGCATTTGGCATTAGATGGAATTATTGCAGCGCTTTTATTTGGATTGACAGATACATTTGTAGCTGACTGTTGCTGCTGCTACTGCTGTCTCCGCCTTCATATCGAGTGCTGTTTGTTTAAAGCGCTCTCAAATATCTCGGCCCCTGGGTCCTATTTACTTTGCTTGCTTACTGTTTTCCTGCTGAGATGGCCTTATCGGAATGCCTTATCAGCATCTCTTGCCCAGATGTGTTTTGACGAATCGTAAATTCATTCGCTGCTGTGTTTATTTTTTAACGCTGGGCAATCAAGCGGCTGTTGGAGGAAACGACTTAATCAGTGTGAACTATATAAAGAGGTAAACACGCCATTTGAGTTACGAGGGGGTAACAAGATTAAAGCAAGAGAATGTCGAAGCTGAGATAAGTTACATGGGATGCCGTAGAATGACTCACCAAGGGCTTCTTTGCTAAATAGGCCTTTGGTAATCAAATCTTCGCAGATTTAAGTAATCAGAGCAGGATTGACCTTGCCTTTGACCCTGACTCATCTTCAGACAACCAATTGAAGGTTTAGCCACTCAAACAGCTATCACATGACTCGATATAAAATAGCAATCAAGTGCGAGTAAACAAAACAACTAAAGCAAATTGATTTGTTTGTGGTGTCGAGCCTAAGTTTCGTGTTGTGTGTGCGGGCTACATTATGCAGCCGGCTCAATGCCGTCCAATTGGCGAATTCCCCCCCACAAATCGGCCGACAATGCCCGTCTATGAGCCAGACAGACCGACAGACGGACAGACAGACAGATGGATGGATGGCCAGATGGCAAGACGAGCGGAGGGACAAGTGTCGCGCGAAGGTACATTGGCCTCCCGGGAGTGAAATCGTCGGCGTCTTGTAATCTCCGGGGTAGGAGACTTTTTATTTGCGCGGCGACTGGAGCGAAAATCGAAAGTGTCTCCTCTAGGGCGGCGTGCTCGGCGAAATGCATTATTAACACATTTGATGGGGGCAGCAAACCCGTTTCGCGGACAAGGTTAACCGAGGACAACACTAATTTCCAGCTGAATGCAGGTCAAGTTACAGCCATCAAAAGCGCCTGAACCCGCCAACCCGACAGCCAACCGAAAGCCATTACAAAACTATCAAAAGTTTGGTTTCATTCAAACCGGTTCCATCGGCTCCACCTGCAGCACGTGGTCGGATCGGATGGGATGGGAAAATGGATTTTTGGCACACACACCATCTGCATCTGCCGAAGTTCTGCGTTCAGCATTTGGTTCAGCTTTCTCATTCACAATGCGTGGTCTCGTTCATTCAGGGCACGATTACCCCAAAAAAAAGGGCCTCTCAACGGTAAGTCGCGCCCGAAAACTTTCACTTTCTTTAGAAATTATTTTTGATAACATAATTTCTTATTTCCCTCGCCTTTGTTGCCCCGGGTGTCCGAACGGGGAGCGTAAAAACAGTGGGCATGTGCTAAATGGAGTGGGTCCCACACCCAGCCACCAGTCTATCCACCATTAACATCTCGAGTCCCCTCGCTGCCAGGGCTTAAGTCATTCCGACCAATCTTGTTGGCTCGGCTTTTAGTGCCTACGGTATTGTATAATGCTGCAGCCTCGGTCACGCTGCATGTAATGCTTTAATGAACATTTCTGGTTTTATAATAATTAGGAAAGAGATGGGAGAGCGCAGTCGCGCCAGCCGATGAAAACGAAAGTGCGGTTTCTTTTCCTTTCCCGCAGCCAGGTGGCCCATGGAAATTTTTGAGTCATTTACCACGATTGATTGATGGTTTTAATTGATTTCACCAAAGAAAGCTTTGCCCCGAGAATGTTGTCCAGAATTAGCCCATTTTCCCCGGGCAATCACGTTCACGTTCACTCGTACACGTTGACATTTGGCTGGGCCACTGATAATTAGGGATTGCTTGCTATTTCGGGCACGTAAGTGACGGAAAAGTAGATTGCTTCGATCTCCCCCTAAGACATTCCTCCTACCGATTCGATATTCATGGTCAATCTCCGGAGTGCCTGCGTCTTATTTGCCATTCGTATGTACGGGATGGCCGGTGGCCAATGGAACAGCCTCGTCGTGTCCAAATACTGGCCTATTTATTTATTTGTTTTTGTGGCCCGAGCGTTTTGGTTAGCGGGGGCTAATTAAACATGCAGCCTTTGGCCGCACACCTCACCTCAAATAAAACACAGACACCGCGAGTACAGCAAACTGCACGCGAATAGAAACGGAAAATATTGTAGAATGCCAAACGAAAGCGTAAGGCTGCGTAACGCGTAACCAGCAGATCGGATATGGGTGGAGCCCGAGGCATATGTATAGCTCAGCCAACTTAGAATGGGCCGCAAAAAGTGAAACAGGTGCGGATTTTGCAAGACGGACTGCGCATGCGCGGCCAGCCAAGAGACCCAAAGTGAAATGCGCAAACGTGTTTTTCCTGACGCGTTGCTTCTGACGAAATGTGTAACAGTAAAGGAAAAAAGAGCAACCGCCACAACTGGTTTTCCACGGACCGAAGCCAAATCGAAACAAACCAAAACATTGATCACAGCCGCAGACTTCGCATAGTTACCTCTCCCAAAAATGCACAATCAACGGGCACTTCGAGCCGAACTTTCGTTCTTGACCCACAACGAACCCGCCTTTGTTCTTTCTGTTTCTGTCTCGGTTTCCGATTTCTTCACTCGAGTCTTCACTCTTTCCCTTTTTACGGCTCTCCGGTCTCCACTTTTTCTTTCTTGTGGACACACTATTTATAGGCAATATTGTGCCATAATTCGCGGCTCTGCCTCGGTGACTGGCCTCGATTATTCGCGATTCATTTGTTTGGCTCACGGTTTTCTACAATCGCGAAATATTTCTGTTTTTTTTTTTGGCTCGCACTACGCACTTGTCGCTCTGTTGTTTGTTTCTTCGGCCGAAGATTTCACCCGCCGGACAAGATTTCGCGCTTCCTCCGCTGAGAAAAGCCAACCGCTCGCCGCAAACCGCCGACAATGAATGACTGCAACCGCAGAGCACAGCTTTTGAGTCGAGCTTCGAGCTCTGCGTCTCTGCGGCTCTGCGGCTGACAAAAGTTCATGGTTCTCGGCTGAAAAGAGAGAGTAGTTTTCGATCCGAAAGGCCCCAGAGTGGTGGGAACAATCAGCGAGAGAGCTTTCGCCATTTACGTTTGGCGTGCCCAACATTTCACATTTAATTGGGTTCAGCATTATCTCGCGTGAACATTTGCCAACCATTGTTCTAAAACGGAAGTATCTACTATAGAATCAGATCTACACATCACGATGCATTGTTTCGGCCACGATCGGTTGACTTTATAATGAGTGTCTTAGTCAGACGACTTCTTAGTAAAAATTAGACTATGGTATTAGCATAATTTTGTATGTATTTCCTAATCAACTTAACTGAGTGTGCACAACTTTTTAACTCATTTGATAATGGCTAAAACTAGTCAAATTAGGCAAAGTGTTTAAATGGTAGTAGTTTTCATAAGCTGCTTATGACTCATTAAAAAATAGATTCTTATGATTTTCTATTTGATAAGTTTAGTACCCACCACCTGGTTCCTTTATTAAATGAATTTTCCTTAGCAAACGTAAATACAACTTTGAATTTATAAGTACCATGAGGAGTTTGCCGACATGTTTAAAATACGATTTAGTTTCTTGCTCAGCCAAGTTCTCCATAAAAGCCAGCTTTAATTATAGCCACTTCAAAGTGACTCTAATTCGGCTTCAGTTTTAGTTGCTATAACGACTTGGACCTTCCAAATCTCGATTATGGTAAGTGTTAATGGTTAGTTGGCTGGCAACACCCAAGCGCTATGTTCCTCAGTTATACACGTTAATGAGGTACATAATATGTGTGATTATTTGTGTGTCTGTGCACGATATCCCACCGTGACAATCCGCTTTTTGCGGCCGAACGGTGGGGGCTGGATCCGATCCATCAATCAAGTTCTGCTAACCGTTGGCCCCCGTATCCGACAAGTGCACCCGGGTGATTTATGGCCGGCGGCTATCAGGCGGAGGACTCGATTGACGCACTCGACGAGTCATCGCACTGCTTGTAAATGGTGAACACCTCCCTCTCGAAGCTGAGGAACCGGCGCAGGCTGCTCGGATCCTGCTGGACTCCGCCGGAGATCCGATGGTCCGGTGGCTCGTCATCGCGAACCACGGTGGTGGCGGCCATTTGCCTGGCACACCGCCACTTAAAAGTGGGAGGCCTTAGGCCGCAGCAGCACCGGCTCCTGTCCATGTGATCCTCGGGCATGGCATCCTGCGTCTTGTCAGGGCCACAGCCGAGGAACCCGAGGGTCTTCTGCTTCACCAGGGACACCGTCCTGATGGTTTGGGTGAGAAAGGTGTAGAAGATGGGGTTCAGCGCACAACTGAACAGGTTCAGAATGCCGAAGCTGAAGTAGAGCAGCCAGTCGATGGGCTCCGAGTAGGAGCCGAAGAGCCGCATGATCAGGAAGACCCAGGCAGGCAGGCGGAGGCAGATGAAGACGGCCATCATCAGGAGCACCACCACCACCATCCGGCGGTGCCTCGCCTCCCGGGCCAAGCCAGCAGCGGTGGTTTTCTGGCCGGGATTCGCGGGGGGATTCTTGGGCGGCAGCTCGGCCTTCTCCAGCGCAAAGGGCAGGGCCACGCCCACGGCGCTGACCAGGGTGGAGGGCATCAGGAGGTCGCCTCCCGGCATCGACTTGAAGTGGCCCTCCTTGGGCTCCTGCTGCCGCACCTGCTGCTCCTGGTGGTAGTGCCTCCTCAGCCAAAGCTGGCGCGCAATCGTGGCGTTCAGCCAGACGAAGGAGACGATGCAGGGCAGGAAGATCAGGGTGAACAGTATGACGTAGTAGAGTCCGACGTCGTGCTGAAACGGAATATTAATAGAACTGCATTAATTGTTTTTCACTCGCCCGATAAGATAATCCGGACATTGATTCGACAACTGTCACGTTCCCCCTCCCGAATCCCCTTAATCGCTGTCGGGAACGAGGCGATAATCTAGTCATTCACTCACGTCCCCGGCGAGGCACATGTGAACCAGTTCCAGCTCGGTGACCACCAGCTCCTCGGGCGCTACTGTTGCCGCCTCCTCACTCTCCTCGGGCGAGTCCTCCACCTCGAGGAGGTAGATCGCCTCGTAGTCGTAGATCCCCAGCAGCGGACCCGAGGCCCCGATCGAGCAGGCCCAAATGAGCAGCATGCACAGGCTGCTGAAGCGGACGTCGGGGTTCCAGAACCCCAGCACGGGTCGCATGATGGCCAGGTAGCGGTCCAGGGCGATGGCCACCAGGGTCAAGCTGCCGGACAGCACCGAAGTGGTGGTGATGAAGGGCACAAACTTGCACATGAAGCCGCCAATGGTCTGGAATGTAATATATAATATCATTTATCATTTCGAATCATATTTAAACCAGTCTGGCAAACCATTCATTTATTTAAAATACTTTTAAAGTATATTCACAAGGATTAATATAATTAAATTCACATCCTTTATAGGAACAAAGTAAAGAACCCCTTCAATAACAACATGTTCTGTTAAGAGGATGTTTTGAAAGACGTACTCAATCGTAGTTAGTAAAGGTACTACCTTTTTCCACACTTCTGGAATCGAACTCACCCAGAGCTGCAGGTACTCCGCCTGGAACTGCGCCATGTAGGAGACGGTGCAGAAGACGCTGGAGACGAGGTCGCTGCAGGCCAGCGAGATGAGACAGGCCCTGAAGAAGGGCCGCAGCTTCCTGCGGGTGTTCACGTACAAAGTGCCCAGGTTGCCGGCGAAGGCCAAGAAGAACAGGATGCCCACGATGGCGGAGAAGGCGTTCCGCTTGAACCGGTTCAGCTGGCTGAGATCGCCGACGAAGACGCCCGGGAAGGGGTGGACCGCCGGACTCGGGGTAGCCTCTCCGTGCTCCGCGAAGGCCCATCGCATATACAGTTCCAACTGGTCGAGGGTGTAGTGGAGCAGGGCCATCTCCAGCCCGAAAAGCCCGAAAGTATGCCGCGAAAGGTCCGGGGCCGAAAGCTTCCGCGAACAGACTGGCGACAGATTTATGGCCACGACTACCGATGGCTTTAATGTTTCATTATCGGGTGCCGCTTATCGCCCAGATTGCTATCCCCTGTCATTATTATGCGCGCCTCGTTGCACACGCCATCATCATCATCATCATGATGACAATAATGACGACGATGACGATGATGATGGTATTAGCGGTAATTGCTCATCCATTCACTCGTTCATGCCACAGAATAAAACACCTTGCGAATTCGGTTTTCTTTAGCAGTGGTTTCACATTTATTTGCGACACTCTCCTCCCTCGCAGCACATTGTTTATTGTTTATTGTCCTCCTTTCGGTTGCATAAGTTCGCCTCAAAAAATACAACGCTTTCAACGCTCGTATGTTCGTAATGGATACACCATATACATATATCTAATGTAGAGCTAATGTAAGCTTAATGTACAAAAGAACTACTCAAAACTCGTCGCCTTGTTACGGTTAAAACTTAACAGCAAGCCTACGAAAACTAACTTTAAACTAGGAGAGCTAAGGCTAAGTCTAAAACGAGCGGAGTGGGGAACCAATGAAACAGTTTATACAATCATTAACGGCTAGCTAGCTAAATTACAGAACTAAGCACTCGAGAATACTTGGAATCAAATGGCAAACACAATCAGAACCCGAATCAGAATCAGAATCAGAACCAGAAGTCACACGCACACACTCACTCGCTCACACAACACTTGCCACGAACATCTGTATATGTATCTGTATATATAATATAGAGTATATGGAGCTAGGTGTATAGTCTTTTAACCAGCGTAGTTTTGGGATAGAGTAGTATCGTATCGGATAAGGTAGCTTTACAACGACGGATAGTTCAGTGTTTTGTATTCGAAAATGCAGCGAAGCTTTGCTTGGGGCTTTCCACCCTCGGTCCTCGTGGCGCTCAGTAGAAGGACTCGTGGGATCCGTCCAGGCACTGGCTGCTCATGTGGAGCGTTAGTGCCTGGTAGGGGAGCGGCTTGCCCATGCTCAGGTTGGCCGTCACGTAGACCAGGTAGCTGGAGCCCGGTATCAGGTTTAGGATGGTCTCCGTTTCGATGTTGTCGGGGCTGTCGAGAATGATTATTCTTTTTTAGATGATCTATCCTTATTATTTTTTAGGGTAGACATACCTCTGCTGCCTTTCCCTACAGGTCATCCACTCGAAGTTCCTGTACTGCATCACCCTCTTGGGCACAAAGTCCATGCAGTAGTTGGTGGAGTCCACCACGCTGCGGTTTCTCTGCGGCAGATTGAACACTATGATGCAGTAGCTGCAAGTAAGGGATATCATATATAGTATACTATATCAAAGTAATAACTCTGAGCTTCTACCTCAGCTCTCGCTCATCTGGAGAGCCATTCCAGGCGATGGTGGCCCTGTTGCACCGCGTTCGCACATTGAAAACACTGGTGTTCTGCGGCAGTTCCGGCAGATCCCTGAACAGAGCCTCGCTGCTCAGAGCCACCTGAAAATGGTATGTATTTAAGATTGATTGATGTATTTATTTAATGAATTTGACTTACCATAACCTTCTGGGCGCGCAACGCCTCGTCCTCGTTGCTGGGCTCGAACCGCATCAGATAGCGCTCGCCCGGGAGAACGCCCTTCTGCCGGATGTACGTGGGACTCCAGAAGGCCTCGGTCTTGCCCACCTCGTTGCGCTGCCGGAGGAGCTTCACCCGGATCTCGCTGCCCGAGCAGGGGATGAGCAGATGCCTCATGAAGGGCTCCTCCGCCCGGAGTATCGTCTGCGGCACCTTGAAGCTGTACACCTGCTTGCCGTGCTGCCCCCCGATCTTGAGCTGCATCAGGGCCTGCTGCTTCAGGGCCAGCGGCTGGCTGCGGTTAAAGTTCACCTGGTGGCTGGCCAGCCGGAGGGTGAGGTTCTGCCGGGTCTGGTGCACCCCGAAGAGGTCCAACTGGTAGCTGTTCCTCGGCAGAAGGCGACGCAGCGTCTGTTGCCGCCGCTTCCCCGTGCAGACGATGTGCAGATTCTGCCGGGGATTCAGCCTCCGTTCCCGCTGAGGGGGTGAGCCCCACACCGAGTCCAGAGGATTGCCACTGGAGCAGCTGGGAGTCGAGGCTCGCTGGCCCACAAAGGCCGAGACCGCCTGACAGAAGTTGGCGTAGTTTATCCTGGGGCTGTCCACCGAAAGTCGCTGGATCACCAGGCAGTAGTGCATTACGTGGTAGTCAAACTTGCTGAAATACAGGATAAATGAGGTATATCTATGATAAACTACAATTAATTATTATTCCCTGTTCCTCAGTAAACAAAGTCATTAAATAATATATCAACATATTTTCACATCTATTAGCTATTAAATATAACGTATGGAATTGAATTGGGATATCAAATGCTATTCAATGCATTAAAAGCTGTTTTGTTTAAAGATGCGATTCAAAATTCAACACCTGCTTATATACAAAGTAACTTTAAACCTAGATTAATTTACTAATTCATACATTCTCTTTCTGTTTTGCCCCACTGATCAGCACTCCCCCAACTCACAAGCAACCGTCCAACTCACCTCCTGTCCCACTTGACGATCATCTCGCGCTTCCTCACGCGGTTCTGGCTGCGGAGGGCGACGCGGTGCGTGGCGTTGATGGGGGGCCAGGCGTGCTGGGGGTGCTCGGCCAGGGCGTCCACCTGGAGGGCTCCGGAGTGGAGAGCCCTCACGAAGAGGTCGTACTGGCCGCGGAGGGCGCAGGGCAGCACCAGGCTGCCCACCGCCACACCTGGTCCAGGTGCCACGGCCGCCGGCCGGAGGAGGATTCCTGTGCGGAGGAGAGGAGGAGAGGAGGAGGGGAGCGGGGGGTTAGTGGAGGTGCAAGGGAAGACAAGGGGGCGGGCCTACCTGTCTGATTGTAGTACATCTGGCGGCCCACGGGCTCCGAGAAGCGAATCGTCAGCGGCGTCGAGTCGTTCAGGTTCAGCACAAATCTGCAAAACGAGATGAGAGATGAAGGCGGCTTTCGAGGGGCGGAGTAAGTGAGCTGTTAACGCCCTTTGTCAAAAATGATGACACTAAATTATCACACGCAATTTGTTTTGCCGCCTGTCTGGGCCGAACTGAACCAAATGAGTCAGCGGCTTTTGGCCATACTCTGGCCCAAAGGGTCAGTCGGCTGGACAAGAGGTTACTCAGGAGGAAAACTTACGGATTTCGAGGTACAATTTGTAAAAGTAAAAAGAAAGTACCAGGAAACCGATAAAAGATAAGTAAATTCAATCTGATAAATAATGCTTAATTTTGTCTTTATATAAATTTATATGATTTGTAGGTGCAATAGATAAATTGGCATATTTTCTGAAAGAGTATTCCCCCTCCGACATTCGTTATCCTTGGGCCAACTTTGTTTATCCATCTCGCTGATGCCTCTGCAACATTGTTGCAGCCAAAGATTGAGTTGAGTCCCCTGGGCCCCGCCCAGCTTTTCTTTTTGCGACTCGCCGAGTCTTGTATTGTAATTAAATGCGAAATTTACGAGCAATTCTTCTAATGACAATCTGCTAAGACAAATGAGCTCGCCGATACACCCACAAGGACTCTGGCGCACGAGAGCCCCGCAAGGATGCAATTTGCGGCCGTGGACGGGAGAGCGGGGAGCATTGCAGCAAATGACTCATTGACTTGGCTTATGGCCGGCCATCTCGAGTTTTATTTTTATGACCGGCTACTTCCGGCCAACGGCAAGGGCCATCGTCATCCCCCGCAAAACAGAAGGATGGACAGAAGTTAGTGCGCCATTCCAATAACATATAGTCATATAGTCGTATTTTTGGCCGCCCTGCCAAAAGGTTCGGATTGATGGAGTGTTTTAATGCATTTCGACCATTGTTGGCGGCGGCGCCGATGCGACTGAGCAAATATTTGCTTTAATTTAAGCCTTGCATGTTGCAACGGCGATTGTTTGCCGTTGGCCATCCTTGTTGTCGGCACGATGACAGCAGTCAATTATACAAGGCAAACATCGGCCAAAGGCGAAAGTTGAATGCGCTCCCGGGCACTCGGAAATGATTTAATGCGTTTTCGCCGGGCTGCAGTGAGTGTTTAATGGGTTCGCAAGGGCTGCTATTATGCCACTAATGCGTTTCATAATGCCTTATTGAAGGGGTTTCCCAGACAATATACATTGGTTTCCAAGCTCTGGTTAACCAATATGCCGTACCATTTGCGGTAAGGATACTCATCACATAATATCCCTGACGAAATTCACACCCGCAGCAGTTAATTCGCAATTGTGCAACGCGACAGACAGAACAATGTGGCGGAATCATCTTAGTGTCATCCTCCTGCGGCTGATTCTGCACCTCGTGGAGGGAATTGTGAATCCGGCGAACGAGACGGCCAACACGGTGATCTTCATGCTGCCCGCCAAGGACATCGGACCCGAGGTCTGGCAAGCCGGCGTGGACTGCCTCGACAGCTTCGCGCAGATCTTCTTCTACCGCAAGCCGGTGGAGAGGTTCACCAGGGCCTACAACCTGATGCTGGCCAACTCGTTCAACCTGACCAGCCCGGCGGACCAGATCCAGGAGGGCTTCAGCAAGCTGATCAACGAGGCGGCCACCAATCCCGGCGAGCCCCTCCGCCAGGAGCTCTTCCAGATGCGCGTGGTCACCGATCACAGAAGGCACTCGAAGGGCAGCTACATGGGCGAGCTGATCTACGCGGACAACTACGTGTTCGTGGTGGACTCCGTGGAGCGGCTGCTCGGCATGATGGCCCGGTATGTCAGCAAGATGCGCTCCTGGAACCCTGGCGCCCGCTTCCTGGTGCTCTTCCACAACCCCCAGCTGCGGAATCGTCCTTGGCGCGTCGCCTCCCAGATCTTCAACGAGCTGATGAACAGCTTCTACGTGCACCGCGTGGCCCTGCTGTACGCCAACTCCTCCACGGACTACAACATCCTGGTGAACGACTACTACAGCAACGTGGACTGCCGGATCCTGAACGTGCAGAGCCTGGGCCAATGCCACGATGGCCAGCTGTACCCCAGTCCCACTGCCGTCCACGCCTCCATGCTGGACTACGTGGCGGGCTTCAGTCCGCGCAACTGCACCTTCCTCGTCTGCGCCTCCGTCTCGGCTCCCTTCGTGGAGGCCGACTGCATCCTGGGCCTCGAGATGCGGATCCTCGGATTCATGAAGAACCGCCTGAACTTCTATGTGAGCAAGCTACTAACTTTATTCGAATATTAGCATTACCAACAGCTAAGCTATCTAATCATAACTGGTCAAAACATAAATATGCGCTTTCAATTTCTTTAGTTAAAAGAAAATATTTTTTCATACTATAAAATATTCTTTTTTTTCTTTCTTGACAAGTAATACGTTCGCAGTTTACTTTAATGAATTTTTTTGATTAAGAAGTAACGAGCATCCCAATCCCTTGATAGGTTAACCAATCCTGCACGACGGAGTCGCGAGGCGAGATGGACTCCGCGGGCAGCTGGAACGGGCTGCTGGGCAAGGTCACGGACAACGAGTGCGACTTCGTGATGGGCGGCTTCTACCCGGACAACGAGGTGGCCGACTTCTTCTGGGGATCGGACACCTACCTGCAGGACGCGCACACCTGGTACGTCAAGGTGGCCGAGCGGAGGCCCGCCTGGCAGGCGATGGTGGGGATCTTCGCGACCTACACCTGGATCGGCTTCCTCCTGATCCTGGTGCTCAGCTGGCTGAGCTGGTTCGCGCTGGTGCAGCTCCTGCCGGAGCCCAGGTACTACCAGCAGCTCAGTCTGACGGCGATAAACGCGCTGGCCGTCTCGATCTGCGTGGCCGTTCAGGAGCGACCGGTGTGCGAGGCCACGAGGGTGTTCTTCATGGGCCTCACGCTCTACGGGCTGAACGTGGTGGCCACCTACACCTCCAAGATGATAGCCACCTTCCAGGACCCGGGCTACCTCCACCAGCTGGACGAGCTGACGGAGGTGGTGGCGGCGGGCATTCCCTACGGCGGCCACGAGGAGAGCCGCGACTGGTTCGAGAACGAGGACGACATGTGGATCTTCAACGGGTACAACGTCTCGCCGGAGTTCACTCCGCAGACGAAGAACCTGGAGGCGGTGCGGTGGGGCAAGCGGTGCATCCTGAGCAACCGGATGTACACGATGCAGAGTCGCCTGGCCGACGACATCTACGCCTTCCCCCAGAACGTATTCAGCAGCCCCCTGCAGATGATCATGAAGGCGGGCTTCCCCTTCCTCTTCGAGATCAACAGCATCATCCGCCTGATGCGCGACGTGGGCATCTTCCAGAAGATCGACGCGGACTTCAGGTACAACAACACCTACCTCAACCGGATCAACAAGATGCGGCCGCAGTTCGCGGACACCGCCATCGTCCTCACCACGGAGCACCTGAAGGGACCCTTCGGCATCCTGGTGGTGGGCATCTGCTGCGCCGCCCTCACGTTCCTCGGCGAGCTAATGACCCGGCACTGGCGGTGCCAGCTGGTCACCAACAAGGGCAAGCCCGCCAGGAGGATGGGGAGGAGGCGGAGGAGGGGGAAGCCAAGGACCAAGAAGGAGAGGAAGAACACGAAGGATGGCCAGTGGCTGCGCCAAGTTCAAGTGGCTCCAGTCGTACGATTTACGCCAGTCAAACGACGCAAAGTTTTGCAGGGACAAACAAGTCAAAAGTAAACTAACCCAACTAACTCGCAAGCTGGCTGCGATAAAATTGACTCAATCCACATAAATTTGCAATTGAGAGACACTGACTGTGACTCCGGCTGGCAGTTCCCCATCCCCCTTACCCCATCCTCTTTCCCCATCTCCTAACCGACGTCTGGGTCTGGTCTCCTGTCTGGTCCCCAGTCTGCACTACATGGTCTATGGTCTGTGCCGTGCCGTTCCGTTCCGAGCCGTGCCGCTCGGGTCGCCTCTGTTGCTTTTCGCGCGAAATACTTAAAATCAGAGACAAAATTCTATTTTTGCGAACAACAACGGCGGGGAGTCTGGGCCCCCGGCCCCCGGCCACTGGGACCCCCTCGCCCCCCCTCCCGCAAATTGACAATCAGCTTCGGTTTTCCCAGCTGCACTGCTGCCGGAAAACTGCGAGCGAAAAACAGAGATAAAGAGGGAGTTAAGCAGATATTCCCATAAGTGGCGCATTCGCTGATTGCGACGGAGGTTACTTTACTGCAGCGCAGCCAAACAAATATCGCGCCAATATCGGATGGCCCAAGTTTCGATTCGAAAATATCCCAAATGAGATTGGAAACAGCGCCGGAGAGCTGGGAAAACTTTCTCGGAATTATGTGAGTTACGGGATATAAATTCGGTAATTTCCCTCGGATTTTCATTTGATAGGTGGTGGACTTGTGGAGGAAGCAGAACTGTTTTTTAGATTTCCAGCTTAATAATAATAATTTTGTAGAACGGACTTCTTAAGGCTATTAAATAAATCAAAACACCAATATATCTTTTTGTTTCACTGCCTGGATGGTATTAATAAATATAAGACTGGAGGAAACCCATTTATACTCATTCTGAAAACAAGATAAATGGCCGGTTTATTTGGATTTTCAAATTTAATAACTCATGTTTAATACGTTTTGAGGAAAGTATATTTGCTGTAGGAATTCAAATTCCATATTAGATATTCCATAAATCAGGTCTCGCTTTTTTAAAATTCCCCAAATTCCCCTGCAACTTGTTGAGACAATTTATCATCGGTTTCATTAATGGATCTTATGCCTGACATTGAGTGCCGGGAATTACTCATCCGCTGTCGGGGAAGTCGAGTGTATATATAATCACCCACCACCCACTTCCCGACCCGGTTCGCATTTCAGTTGTGATCCTGTGTCGGCCAAGAACACAACAATTATTTGATATCTCTATTATGCCCGATTGTGCGACTCTGAGTGATTCACGCCGCGCACAATGCCAAACAAAGACACACTCAATTACTCACACCGAAATGGGCACAGTGAGCACTTAGTGTCTGTAATTTGAAAATGGCTTTCCCTTCACCCCGAACTTTCTCCGCTCCTCCGTCTATTTTTTGGGAAATTTTAGACTATTGAACCGCTGATGTGCTGATGCGAAGTCGTCTGACCAAGAGCGACGCCCCTCTGTCTGTTCTGTTCAGTTCGCTTCGGTTCTGTTCTGTTCGGTTTGGCTTGGCTTTGGTTTTGGTTTCGGTGTTTTGTAGTTGCGGCTCCTCCGATTGCTCCACCGATGGCAGTTCCTATTCTGATTCCCATTCCGATTCCCATTCCTTGGCCCCAGCCTCAGACGGACTCGGTCTCGCCGCGTATTTTCGTACTCTGTCAAGTGCTAAAAATACTGGGCCCACCGCACTCGTAGGAGATCTTTTCTGGCGGCGCAAAATAATGACGACGCTGCCGCGTTTGACGATGATGGGGCACTGGTCATTGTGCGAAATTCGCTGCGCGGCAAGGTCTGCGTGGCTTCAGCCAGAACCCGAGAGGCAAAAGGCCCAAAACGAAGCAGAACACACAACGAATTATGCCTCGCATTTTATGGCAATTTGTTGTTGCCGCTTTTTACTGTTGTTGTGGCTCCTTTGATGCGCTTACAAATAAATAGTTTCACGCCATAAAGGCCGCGGATCGGGGCGTTCGAGGGGCGTGGGCGGGAACTACCGAGTTCGAGTGTCGGCCGGGCAATAAAAGTTGTTTACACCGCCCGAGCCTGCGGCGCACATAAAAATGCAACGCCAACAACAATCAAACAACAGCATCAACATATTAACAACATTTTGCCTCCATTCCCTGTACTAAATGGGGGAAGTCAGTATGCGACGAAGTAAAAACTACTTTTGCTCCCTATAAATTCACTTTTCAAAAACAAATTAAACACCAAGTTGGAAAGTTCTAGAGAGAACACATTACTTTTCGCGAAATTTGATTTGATTTTAAATCGCTCATAAGAGGTATCCCCTAGTCGTGTGATTTACTTTCACACAATCACCTTTCCGCCAGTTTTGGGGTTTGTTTTGGTTTCAGGCCACTGACTGGATGACTGGTCGACTGGCTGCCACAACTATCCGCCGAATGCCACAGGTGGCCGCAAGTGGCATCCGCGTCCAGAATGATCGAGTTGCGAATGCGAATCGGGAATTGTGAATTGCGAATTGGGAAATGGGAACGGGAGCGCATATTGCGCCGTCGAATTAAGTCGTAAAATTAATATTTATGATTTGTTTGTGCAAAGTATTAACGCTCCCCTTGATTGGCGGGCTGGAAGGATACGCACTGGGCCACTGGCAATTGCAAATTGGCAGCAGGCAACTGGCAACTGGCAAGTGGCCACTGGCCACTGGAATGGGGCTTGCTGATTCTAGCAAAACGCTTAATGGCTGCACGCGCCATAAACGCGAATTTCGCCGTAGATTCTTTAGCAACTCGCTCCTTTTCACACGCTCAGCAAACTGGGCAACTCGAGCCGAACGTCACGTACTCTGTTTCTGGATCTCGGAGCTCGCATCTCGGATCTCCGCGCTCCACAATCCCGCGAGCTGGTCACTCGAGCTGCAGCCGGGCAATCGGAGCACTCTCGTTGGGTCGCGCGACACCGAGATGCCCACTAAACACTAAATTGCCATCCAGTGGGGAGGAAAAACGAGGAAAGCACTGAAAAAGCGAACCGAAGAAGGAGTTGACGACAAACCACGACATTAATTTGAATGTTTGCTGGCATTCTGTGGCAAGTGATCGAGTGTTATACGAGTCAGGGGCTTCCAGTTTCCCCGCTTCGCCAAAAAAGCCCGCGATGGTTCGCACGTTCACTGGAGAAGATGAAAACGGAAAACTGAAAACCGAAATCCCGGAGCCCGGAGCTCGGAGCCTAAGCGAAAACGTGACGGGCCTCTTTTGACCCAGGCCCAAGCTGCCTACCAACGGAAACCAATGGAAATCGTAAAAAAAGAACGTTACTCATACGCCACGTGCAACGCAGCGGGAACAGTGGTTTAGGGGAAAAGCCGGAATCGAGTTTGTTAAAGGAAAGCTTTAAAAAAGGTTTGTGAAACTCGATACAGAGCTGTCACGGAAATCCCTCCTGGCGGAAAACAAAATGTATTTTCGGGTATAGAAACTAAATGGTTGTAACGTATACTTTAATTAAGGTATTTTTAACTTTCGTTGTTATCAAGAATGATTGTTCTCGGTTTCCCCAGGAATTCCCATATTAAAGTTTTACATTTCCCACCGCTTAGGAGGTTTTTGGGTGTAGAATCTCGGTTTGAATCCAGTGTGCAGTGTGTGGTGGCAGCTGTGGTGGCAACAAAAGCTCGCACACTAGACAAATAAGAAGAAGAGCGGCTAAAACACACACACACACACACACTGGAGGACGACTGTAAAAAATCTGGCTGTGGATGGTTTTTTGTTTGGCCAGCCACACGTCGTGGTTATAAATTATTTTTTGCTCCTGTTGGCTTCTTATTCTCCTCGCAAGAGGCGCCCCTAAGTTTGGCTTTGGCCATCTTTGACATTTGTTCGGCCGTAATTTGATTTGTGAGGCAGGCGGCGTCGCCATCGCACTTAGCCGAATTGCTGTCCGTCACCCGGGAACCGTACGAATACCCACCGCTTTCGCTTCCGCTCCGCCAAGGCGATGTGCACGGACACATCCACGTAGAGGTCTTCCAGGTCGTCGATGTCCTTCAGCATCTGGCGGTACCGCTGCAGCGAAGGACACTTCCGCGGCGGTCCTGGGGTCGCCTTCGCCCGTGGCACCTCGGCCTCGCGGACCAGGGGATTCTGCAGCAGCTCCGTGGAGTCCAGGATGACGCGGTTGCTCGCCAGCGGCAGGTGGGAGATCTCCGCGAGGAGCGGCGGGCTGAGCAGGAGCAGCAGCAGCAGCTCCACTCCCGGCAACATGGTTTCCTTCACTCGATTTTCACTGTTCACCGACAATGTCTTTTGTTCTTATTTTTGGCTCGTCTAGGTAAGTCAACCTTCGAGTTGAGTGCGTGTTCAGTGTGCAGCTTAATTGGTCTGCAAGGGGTTGGTTTTCCAATAAGATAATTGCTTTTATTGGGCGGGAAATACCTTTTTAATTACTAGATAGTTCCACTTGTCAGTAAATTAAATTTGATTCTTGTTTGGGGTTCATAAATTGATGTTGAGAAGAAAATTTATTGACCGCCAACGTATGTCGTGTCCGTAGACATAAATGCTGAGATTCGCATAACAGTCTCCGTTAAATAAGCTCCGCTTAGAGCAGTCAATTGACCTTGTCGGAGTTCTTAGCTACTTTGAAAAGAACAGAGAATAAGTTTACAAACTTTCGGTTTTTGACAGTGAAGCCAATGCAATACTTGGTAAGCCCCTCGACTAATGCTATCTGAACCGAACTTTTAAAGTTGCAATTTATTTCGTTAGTCGCTCCATTCTACTGCTTAGAGCTCCTTGTTAGTCTTGGAATTATTACACTTCTTATCTCTTCTACTTTAATAGTTTTTGTTTAGAAAGTTTGTTTTGCTCAAAAGCTTGCCTAATAAATTCGCTTTATTACGAAATATGACGTTTCTGTCTGTACAACGTTTAATTCCCTGGCTCCCCCGAAAAAATGCTTTTCGCTTCTAATCCGTAAATCCGAAAATCCCGAGACACGAAGCCCGCCGTTCTCCTCGAGCCCAGCCCTCGGCTCCTCTCCGGATTTTCTGTCCTCCGCACAATTAAGGCCTGTCAAACCTTTGACACACGTCGCCTGCCTTCTCTGTTCCTCCCCGAGAGTCCGCCCACTGTCCTTTGCTGCGGCAACAACTTCTTCAGCCTGCCGCAATATTGCCAAAAAACGAAGATGTATTTTTTAGGGGAGCAGCGCTGTGCGTCGGTGCCTCTGTTTCAGCTTCTGCTTGCGGCTCTTCGGCTCGATTCTTTGGCTGTTTGGGGCGAGCAATTAATTGGGGGCTGCAGTGAATCGATTCTCGGAACTGTTAGATTTGCTAATTGCGGCTGCCCGCTGACCTTTCCCTCGGGCCCCCGTTTAATTAAAGTTCTGTGAATTTGCGTGTGCCGCAACAATTGGCCCGTGGGCGTGGGGCAGAAGAGAGAGACGGGGCAAAGGAGGCGGGGCAGAAGCACCACCTGTGGCTGAACACGAGCAATTAGCCGATGGCCCACGCACGAGCACTCTTACTTTTCCGCCGCGAAAGCACTTTTCATAAATTCGTATTTTGATTTGTGGCCGCACGCATAGTTGGGATTCTTTTAGCGGGCTTTTCGCCGGGTTCTCTGCGGCGCCGGCACACCCCGTCCGTATTTTCCACTCGGAGCACACGCGACTCGTTTCCCGGGTGCGGAAGTTCAGGTTCTGGCCGTTCTGCCGTTTCCGTCGACGCTCGTCGTCCGTTTGACTTGACGTGCAAACGCAAAATGCCCGAGAGTCGTGCGCAAAGAAAGCCAAAAAGCCCGAGTGTCGAGAGCAAGAGGCGACTGCGCCGCCAGCGCCGGCGTCGACGCCGACCGAGGCAGAGGCGTGGCAGAGGCAGCGACGCTGGCAGATGCCAAGGAACGAAGAAGGCCCCAACGAAATCCCGAAGACGGCCCGAAGTCCCAGTCTCCCCCACTCACACACACACACACACACACACACACACAGAAGGCCCGAAAAAAGCGAACAGAACTTTGAAGTCGAATGGGAAGACTTTCAGATACCCAGTATCTTTGGACTTTTTATAAAGCAGTTTGCATACTGACAGCCATTTCTTAAAGGTCATCCTTTAAACAAATAATATGGTTGGAAGGTGATTTAATATAGTAAGAATATAAATGATTACTAAAGATAATTTATGCATAATAATCATAAGTAACTAACATTAATTGTAGCATACTTACATGGGTTAATATTACAATAAATGAGTGTAGAAATGGTATAACGGTATATAACTTTTCTCAAAAAGCATTCTAATAGGATTTCCTCTCCCTGTTACATACTGATCCCCTTATACAACATACCCCACTTACCCTGTGACTAGCGGATACAAAAATAAGAAAAACAATACACACACTTTTGCTCTCCCTTAATTAATGCCTTTGCTTTGGGCCTGTCCCATTGATGGCTTGTGTTGTTTTTTTTTTGTCGCGCCAACATTTTGATTTTTGAATTTCGCTTTCAATGAAAACCAGAACAGAGCGAAACACAAGAAGAACAAGAGGCCGCAATCGGAATCAGTGGAATAACATGATGTGCGTTGATTCTTTATGTGCCGCACGTGACTTTCGGCGGAAACATTGAGCGCCACTCGGCCGCATCTTTGTAGCACAGCAAATCCAGAAGGGGATCCCCGTGAGCCAGCCGCATGCAAAGTGCCCCTCGTGAAATCTGAGCTGCCCGAAACACGGAAGATAAACATTAGATCCGAGTGGCGGAGGCAGCGGAGTGGATGCAACATGCGATGGGGCGCTGCTCTGGAATCGCTTTGACACTCGAGTGTTGGTCCATTCGAGTGCCAGTGCAGCTGGGCTTGGCTGTGATACTCGTATATTACACGTAGTCCCAAAGTGATTTAATCTGATTTGGCGCAGCGGGCGCAGCTGTATCAGTTAACAGGGCACAATTGCAGCAAATTAAGTAAGCTAAATTAACTCACTAATTGCCACAAATACATGCAACAATTCGCACATCATTTTATAGTAGGTATTGCCTATCTTACTCAATACAAGAGTTAAGCAATAATGATAAAAAAAAAACAATGCTTACCATGGAGTTTTTATCAATACTAATACAAAGAATAGTATTGGGAAAATTGTATTGTCCGACTTCAAAATGTGGAATCGGCATTGTCTTCAAGAAAGAAACATTTGAGTTTAAAATAAATGTAAAGCCAAATTGTTACTATAATTTCTACAACCCCTCACCTTTTTCATATTCCTGCATCTGTTTTAGATTCATCTCGTTTTAGAAAACTTTTCTCACAGTTCCTGTTTTGTAATTTTAGAGGTAGCGGAACCGAAACCTCATAAATGCCAGCTGAAATTGTTATGAAATTCTCGCTGGCATTAATATGCATTTTGCTGATATAAACAAATTGCTTTTTGCTGTGCTCCCGCCCTTTTCCCCGCCCATTCACCTGTGTGAGTTTGAGCACAGGGGTTTTCCCGGAATTCTGGCGGCATAAAGCGAGCGCAAAACAAAAAAAAAACAAAGTAAAACAACATTTTCGCCCTGTGACAGGAAGGAAATGAGTTGCGTCTGGCCGTAGCGTAGCAACAAATTAACAGCAAATTAGTTAGAAAAGCAGCCAGCAGTTTTAGTGACTTAATCAGCGGCAGTTTGCGGCAGGAGGGGATTCGGGGCAGGGGCACGGAGCCAGTGGCAGAAGCAGGAGCAGGAGCCTCGAGAGTTGACAAGGTCCAACCTTGGAGGCGCCCCTGCCGCGCACTTCTCAAGGGTCCGCATCCCCGTCCTCCATCTCGGGAGCCCCATCCCGAGCCCCAATCTCATGCATAATGCAGGCCACTGCCCGCCTGTCAGTGCGACTGTGTCCGGAGAAGTCCATTCCCCCAACCCAACTCAGTGGCAGCCAACCCATCTCCATCCCCATCCCCATCTCCATTCCCGTTCCCTGACGCTGATGGTGGCCCAGAGTCGGCGTTGCATTTTCAACAAATTAATTATTGGCGAAGAGGTGGAACAAGTCACTTAGCTGCCGAGCAGAAGGTGCCCCTGTTCCACGGCCGTTGAGCGATTATTTGGAAGGACCTTACCAATACCTGGTCTGAAATGAGATCTTCTCTTTAGTTAAAATTTAGAAAATGAAAGCCTGTATTGCTAAAGTGTTTTCCAATTAAAATATTTTACTTTCACGTTCAGCACTTAGTAAATATTATTTCAATTATTCATTTTAATTAAAATATACTTTCATAAGGGCAATCCTTCAAACGGTTTGTTTGCCCACCTTTAATTTTTCAAATATTTTCGGTCGCCCACACTTTTCGACAAATTTTTGATTGATTTTCCTTAAATTGCTGACAAGCCAGTAAATGTCGCGTGAGTGAAATTGAGTGCGTTTCGCTGTTGACACAATACTTCAGCTGCTCCATTTGTGTAACGATAGAGTCAACACGCTGCTCCCGACAATCGATCAGCGATTTGGGGAGCTGTTGGCCGGGAACTAAAGTACCGAGCCACCGATGGACTGGCGTTTTGGCATTCAGCACCGCCGACCGAACTTATTGGTACAACATTTTTGCCTCACACTCGCACTTCATCAACGCAAAATGATTGGCATGCCAACGTCAGCCGACGGAGGCAGAAGCTATAGCCCAACCAGGAGCTATATAGCCCAAACCGAAAGTGGTGGCAGCGGGGAGTGGGGAGCGAGGAGCGGGGAACCCTGGAACGGCAACAATAAATGCGGCAACGTTGGCGGCGAAAGCCTCGACATGTGTAAAGGAATCGTTTAAAATAAATGACAGGCGAGCCCCTGTTTCCCGGTCCCCGAACCCCAGTTCCCAGTCCTTAGTCCTCAGCCCTCAGTCCCCAATCCCCTGTCCCCCTGTCCCCCATCCCCATCCCCATCCCCGACATGTCGAAAACCCTACTCCCGCAAAGAGTCCCCTGGCTGCATAATTACCCCCAGAGCGGAGCACACGGCAGATCACAATAATCAATACGGCCAGGCCAAGAGGACGGAGGCGGGTGGCGGGGGAGTGGCACAGGGGCAGAGGGGGCAGGAGGGTCCGGACCTGGCCGAGTTTTTGTTGTTCCTCCTCCTCGAGGATCTGTGGCGTGTGTGGTCCGGCTTTTCGTTTTTTTACATGTTTTCGGTGGCTTTGGCTTCGTTTGAACTTGGGCGCTTCTCGCTGCCTGGGAGCTAGATTATTTGTTTACACGCATCCGCAAATCGAGCCACTAGGGATGGACACCAGAATGCTAATGCCAGAGCCCAAATAGAGTTTAACTGAAATGGAACTGTGCAAAAAACTACCAGTTCTCAGGTGTATTTGCCTCATATTCTGTAAATACATTTTGCCTCATTTCTGTAAGTATGCTTGAGGGATAGTTTGTGCGGAATGTAGAGTCGGTTAAATGGACAGGATTTATAAAGCAAACAATTATTCAATATAGTTAGTGTACAGCTGCTCTGTTTTCTTCCGTATGTATTCTAAATAAATTCCGCATCCCAGTCCATCCCTCGTTCAGTGAATTATCATGCCAACTCCGGCGGGCAGAAAAAAAAAGGAGCCGCTCAAGTTTTTAGCACCTTACAACACCTTTGAATGGAAAAGTTTGCCGCGGGCCGAGGAAGGCTCAAAACACCTGGATCTTCGGCTTGGACAAATTGCCGCCACGCCCCCCGCCCCCCGATTCTGATTGACAGCGAAGGCGGCGAAGGCGTGGCCGGGCGAAATCAAAAACTTGCAAAACTTTCGGCTTATCCCTTATGCCCAAGTGACAGCCCAGTGAAAATTGTCAACTTGGCACGCATTTTATTAAATGAAAGAATTTTCTTTAGCTACAGTTGGTTGGGGAAGCAGTGGGGAGAGGCGGAGGCTGCTGTTTCTGCTGTCAAACTTACGCAAAACAAATCGGAAAAGGCCAACGCACACTCGCCTTGCAAAAAAGGAGAGACGAGAGCGTTCCTCCCTTTTCTGCCAGCGACAAAGTGGAAATTTTTTAATTGCATTTTTGCCAACTGTCGCAGCGGATTATTGGCAAGCAATTCATTCCAGTGGAAATTGCAGCGTAAAATCTTTTAGCATCGCCAACACAAAAGTTGCATTAGGCTCCGTTCCTCTTTCTTCCTGAAAATTGAAAAGGCGGGGTAAATTTAACGTAGAGTGGTGCATTTGCCTTGGGCGAACCATTGTACGTCTTCCAACATTTTCCTCTCGTTTTGTTCTCCAGGAAAGGCAAAAGGATATTGCTACTTATGCTAATGATGGATCGAAATGAAGGCAGGCTAGAACAAAAGCCAAGGACAAGAAAGTGCCTTTTCAATTGCTTGCTTTTGAATAATTTCTGCTCAAATCAGAAATGACTCTATAATCCAGTTAGGTGCGAGGCCTTACTTAATGAAAATAGTTTTAACTCCAGCTCTGAGTTATTCGAATATTTAAGTGAGCAACATATGTCTAAAGTATAGCGAAAACAAATAACGCAAGTTATTTCTGTTGGCAATCATCCTCAGATATTTATGCGAAACTTTACAAGACTCGCTCAAATCTGCAGTTGAAATTGTATCTTGCATCAAAGGAACTTTTGCTTTCATTTCAAGATTACTTTTTTCGAGTTTCGTGCCAAATTAAAAGCCAAACACTTGCCAACACACAAAACTCTTGCCAACACAACCGACAAAAAAACGAAAACTTTTCTTATCTTTGTTTTTTTTTCTGTTGTCATGCTGACGATG